CCCCAAAACCCCAAAACCCCAAAACCCCAAAACCCCACTTGAGAAAGCCAAAATTGACTCTGAAATAATATTGATAAAATGGAGGGAACAGAGACATACTTTGAGGATCTTGTAGAGAAATACAATCATTTCATGATTGACTGTGATGGAGTTCTTCTCTCAGGCACAAAGGCTATTGAAGGATCCGTGGAGGCAGTCAACCGCCTCATTGAACAAAAGAAATCATGATATTTTATCACAAATTCAAGCGGAAGGACTAGCAAAGGGCTCCGAGAGAAGCTCGATAAGTTTGGAATCTCCCTTCCTGAAACTGGAGAGGCAACTTACTGATGCTTCAGCTCAAGCTATACCACTTCTTTGTATATCAAGCAAGAATATCCCGAAATTAAGAAGGTCTTTGTACTTGGAGAGAAAGGTCTCTGAGACCAACTTGAAGAGGAGGGTATCCAAACTGTTGGATTAGACATCACTGAAATCAGCATTGAGCCTGAAGAATATGAAAATTATGAACTTGACGAAGATATACAAGCAGTTGTGGTGGGGTATGATCAAAATATTAACTACAGAAAGCTCAGCATTGCTAGTCTGTATCTTCAAAACGGGAGAAAGTTCATCGCGTGCAACCCAGATATGTTTGACAGCATTCATGGAAGACCTATCCCAACTACGGGTGTTACTATAGAAGCTTTAACATATATAACCGGGCTGAAGCCTTATATCTGAGGAAAGCCTAATCCTCACATTGTGAATATTATCGATAAGGAATTTGGACTTCCCGAAGAGGAAAAGGCAAAGACAGTTATGATCGGAGATAGACTTACCACTGATATTTATCTAGCTCATAATGCTGGAGTAGATTCCTGTCTTGTCCTCACAGGATGCAATACAGCAGAGGATGTTCATAACAAAGAGGAGAATCCTGATAAAATTATTCCCACACATGTGATGCCAAGATTAGGTCATTTTAGAGAATCTGCTTAATTCAATATTTAAAATTGGAGATGGGGTTTTGGGGTTTTGGGGTTTTGGGGTTTTGGGG